TATATATATATGTATGTGTATATACGTGTATATATATGTATATACATATATACGTACTGTACTGTCTATTTGATGAGTATAATAGTAACAATAATATTAACTTTAGTCCACTAGTCTGCGCCACAAATGCAAAAAACACATTTATTACAAAACTCACAGGAACTGCAGTGGATTATTATAAATCAGTTATTTGATCGCATTATATTAAATATAAAATTCATATTTACTGTATTCTTACATATATTGATTATAATATTGTTATGAGCTGAAATTTGTTTTTTTGTGTTCAGGTGCATCAAGCTGCAGTTTGGGGGGGAGGAGACTCAGAATGAAGCCTGGAGCTGGTTGGCTGCCAATCAGCTGTCATCTGTCGTCAATACCAAAGAGTCCAGGTTTGATTGTTATTGATTATTTATTATTATTGACATTGTAAATCAATGGAGTGTCACACAGCGTTCTCTTCTTCTGTGGTCAGTGCTACAGATGAGGCGTGGCGGCTGCTGGCTTCCTACCTGGACAGGTATCCGTCCGCTAACGGACAGTACCACCGCTGCGTCATCAACAAGCTGCTGTCGCACGCTGTCCCACTGCCCGATTGGCTTGTCAAGTCTTACAAGGTGAGTCATCAACCAATAGGGAGGGAGGGGGTGCGGACGCTTTATTCTGCAGAAGCACTCACTGTTTGCTGCTTTTTCTCCCATGATGCATTGCAACAGGCTGTGGACGCAGCGTCTCTGCTGCGTCTCTTCCTGAACTTTGACCTCCTGGACGCTGCCGCCGAGCTGGTGTTAGAGTACGTGGACGCTCTGCTCGGGAGAGGACACCAGTACTTCGGAATAGAGGTAAAAGTACTGCAGACTGTACTGCATTATAGAGGTCAAAGTACTTTGCGTACTACATTAAGTTATATTAATTGTGTTTAGCTGATGAAACTCTGCTGTTTAAAATAATATAATTGCTGGTGTTGATTAAACGGACTGGTTGCTGTCACAGAGGCCTCTGTCAGCGACGTCGTCCTCCGTCTGGCTGCCGTACACGTCCATCGATCAGCTGCTTCAGACTCTGAACGAGACTCAGACCAACAGCAGCGTGAGTCTCTCACTTCCTGTTTACAGTTTAATACCTCTGTATCCCACAATGCAAAGCGCTGACTCAAGCTCTCAGCTCCACAAGCGACAACAATTGTATTTGTGGGTGGTTTTTAATTCATAATATTTCTGATAAAAAAAATAAAAGTGATGGAATTGAACCTGTGACATCCTCCTGTATTAACCAATGCTCGCTGTCTGTTTTCAGATGTACAATAAAGTTCGAGACAAATTGGACGATTATCACAAACTGGTGGCGCAGACGACCAAACGAAGACTCGTCACTCGATAGAAACTCACCTGAC